TAACAATTCCAACGAACATTCCTTTGAGAAGGTTCCTGATACCATCAGTATACATGTGTATGTGAACACATTTGGGACTAACAGGGTTTACTAGAATCCCACCACTCCACCACAGAGTCACCGCAGTAGACGTTAGATGAGCGCTGTTGCTCCGCGGCACTTGTTAGTTTATTAAACCGAGTTAAATTTGAGTTTTCAAAAAGTCCGGATTCTCAGGTAATCCGGATTTCTGCCATCTGCATTTTTTACTTCTACTGTATGGGGTTTATTAGGAAAGTTAAAAAATCTGCTGGAGGTTTAGGTTTGGATACAATTCTGTTTTTATTTCACTGCACGTCTCATAGTCTGCACCAATTAAAATGCCTTATTTTTGGAGCCATATAATATAGTTCTGTTATCAAGTGTTAAACATATATCTACTAATTGCAAATCTCATCAGCAGTGTAACGTTGGAATGAGCGTTGATGTCGAAATGATGAAGATATAAAGTCAAACTTGTTGTAGTAACCAGAATAAACTTTATTAGCTTGTACACTGTAGCCACATCGCACAAAGAGACAAAGAACGCGCACACGCGCATACGCGCGTGTGCTCAGCTCGCTCCCCAGCCACCGAATCTCCCATCCCCTCCTCTTACATCTCTCTCTCTATATATCCCCCAAAACTCCCTACATCCTGCCCGCACATGTACCCGTTCTCAGAGACTACGTCCTATCCCAATTTCACACTGACTCTCGAAACTGTCTAACCTAACCACGTCCTGCCATTCTCCCTAATACATCAATGTAGCCGCCCATCTGGTCGAGCGACGCTGTCTAGCTGGAATATGGCTAAAACAACTACCCGTCTAGCTCCACTGATTAATTCATGTAACGTATAAAATAGACGTTTACAGCAGTATTTGACAGTGCATTAAACGTTTATAGCAATAACATAAGCTATCCCCTGTCTATATTGCAATCCACCATCTGATAGAAACACGGTGTGTCGACTGGATGATAACAGAAAACAAAACTGTCTGACACAAATCTCCATGTTGCCAGAATTTATAGGTAATGGCTAGTTAATTATACTGACTAACGAGCGTATTCTCATCTATCATGTTTATCGGTGAAACCATTACATCTATCAGGAGTGTATAATATAGAGATATCTCTATATTATACACTCCTGATCGATTGTACCCATGTGACATAATTCCATGTCTGTGACAGAGAATCGGTGATAGCTGGATCAGCCACCTTGAGGACCTGAGACAGCTGGAGCCGCTGGTACTGAACGACATGTTTGTGAGAGAGGTGATGACGGCGAAGCAAGAGAACAAGATGAAGCTGGCAGAGCTGCTAAAGAAGGATTACAACATCAACATCAACACGTCATCGCTGTTTGATGTGCAAGTGAGTTGAGTGAGCCCAAGTAAGCTCTGTTAGAGGCAAGATGCTAACTAAAAATATATTGTGCAGAAAATATTATGGCGTACGAGGAGGGGAGAGATAGAGAGGTCTTACCATACCTCATGTAGTGTCGGTTGAATTTCCACGTGATAATAAAGCCTGCATTCGGTCTCGTAGCGCGGATGTATTTCTTCAGTTAGGTTAGTGCTGGAGATATAATAGTCGATGGTGTTTGTAATCAAAGGTGGATTGTATGCTTTTATGATAGCAATGATCAAAAGCTTTGTTGAAATGACGAAGTGTGGAGCATGAATGAAATCCATATGTAGCAGGTGTCGCTCTTACATGCGAATCTGTTCTGTCGTGCTTCAGGTAAAGAGGATTCATGAGTACAAGCGCCAGCTGATGAATTGCCTGCACATGATAGTCATGTACAACAGGATCAAGAAGAACCCTAATCATCCCTTTGTGGCACGAACCGTCATGATAGGTGGCAAGGTAGGCAACCATTACCTCCCAGGATAGATGCATTGAGCTGTAATGGGAACGCCATCAATTTGTTACATGGAAAATTGTTACACATGGGAGCCATACGATCATAGCTGTCAAACAGCACTTGCATTTAAAGTGTGTATTACTATGATAGGCCACGATAAACTTCAACAACAGTAGGAGAAAAGGCAGGAGTAACAGTGGCACTATTAGCAGCTGCAGGGGCAGTGTGTAGTTGTATTCATCACGATTGTGGTTGTCGGTGTAGTTCTGGTACCTGTAAGATAAGCAGTGCCTCTATGCGGCTTTTCTCTTACCCTTATTTGTAGTTTTAAAATTGGTCTCATTTCTGCCCTTATATTTCAGGCAGCTCCTGGCTACCATACTGCCAAAGATATCATTCGCCTGATCTGTGCAGTGGCGAGAGTCGTAAATAACGACCCGATCGTGGGAGATAAACTGAAGGTAATCAATCTTCTCTAGAGGTGTTGTGAGAAGTGAAAGTGACGTGGTGTGTGTGAGGGACAGATGTCAGATAAATGATGGATATGTAGTGGATATATGGAGCTGTGATTTTCTTCTAGAATTATATTTGTTAGATGCTTAACGTTTACCAATTTAAAACATGGCTTTTGACTTGATTTGCATCATCGTAATATTCAATCACTGCTGTTTGTAGGTGGTGTACCTCGAGAATTATCGTGTGTCACTTGCCGAGAAGGTCATTCCGGCATCTGACCTCAGTGAACAAATCTCCTTGGCTGGAACTGAAGCTTCTGGCACTGGCAACATGAAGTTCATGGTGAGTAGTGTATGAATAACTGCCTCATAGTAATGATAAGGTAACATGGGAGAGATTAGATTGACAGCAAGGTTCTGGGTTGCATCTCTGCTCAACAAGGGGTTGTGTACAGCTATGTATAAAACTGGATTCAAATGACGAATTTTTGGAATCCAATCAGGAGTATTTGAACTCAGCTTGGTGTCCTCGGTGTACTGGTCAATGAATAAATGGGACATTAATGCATGATATGGTCAATCTTGATAGCAAACCCGATTAAAAAACTCAGTCCATGATGGTAGGTACATCCAACTAATGACAAATCCCCCATTATGGAAAATAGACCCTGCCCTCCCCAAATCTAGCCAGTTTGACTGATGTGGATCAATATAAGTACACATCCCGATACCAGTAATTTATCTCACCAAGAAGCCAGTGACAGTGGAGTAGTGGAAGTAGAAAAAAGAAAGGGTGTACTGTTGAAGGCACTGGGTAGTCGACTAATGAGATGAAGTGGATTCTTTTCCAAGTGTTAAACAAGTACTCAGGAGGCTATATGAGGGCCAGGTGGGTGTGAGGTGAGACAGCGACAGTAAATGTGTTCTAAAACAGGACTTGAATGGGTGACTGAGATAAACTGGTAGGTTTGGTTGTGAGGCAGGGACTGGATAGGTGTGATGTGAGGCAAAGTTGGAAGTGACTATGTCTTTGTTATTATATATTTCATAGTAAAGTGTTTCCTTTCACTTGTAGCTTAACGGAGCTCTGACAATTGGCACACTGGATGGTGCTAACGTAGAAATGAGAGAGGAAATGGGTCCAGAGAATATCTTTATCTTTGGCATGAATATTGATGATGTGGATGAGCTGCACAAAAAAAAGTAAGGCTTTCACTTAATATATATAATGCCATAACCTTGCTATCAGGAGGCGTGCATGGTGGTTGCATAAAGTTGGCTCTTGTGCAGCATCATAATATCTGTGTTAATGTGATAAGTTCACTGACCTTAATCTGAAACTGGTTTCACATATGGTATTTTGTTTTAAGATTGCAACAGACATTTGTAAGCCATCATCGTAATCGCACGTAATGTCCTCATCAATTTCTTATCTTCGTTTAGCTACAACCCAATGGACTACTACAACAGCAACCCTGAGCTGAAGCTTTGCCTGGACCAAATCCGAGGTGGATACTTCAGCCCCAATGATCCATGCTCCTTCCATAACTTGGTTGACACTGTTCTATATAATGACAGGTAAGATCTAGTTAGCCATAGAGTCACCCGGTGTAGGTTTTTATTCTTTATTTTAAGGATATGGGTTTTTAAAGTCATCAATTTAAATTTGTTGATGAATTATGAAGGGTATATATTAAGTGTAATGTGCCGGATCCATAATTCACTGAAGCGAGGCGAATGTCCTCGTTTCACTTCTGAACTCCATAATTTCATATTCTCTTATATTCTCTCATTTCATCTCATAAATTCAACTTTGCATCTTGTAGCAGTAGTTCCTGTGGCAGCGATTGCTGATTCTATATACTACTGTTATGTATGTGTTACTGTTATGTACTGTTATGTATGTGTATGTGTATACTACTGTTATGCCTGTGATGCGTAATCAGCTAAAATAGTCTAAGTGCGCCATTAACTCATGTTGAAGTCTGTGCGTGCGTTTGTGCATGCGTGGTACTAGCAACCACAATTCGGGCAGCCATTTATGCAATGTGTTGGCGAGACATTTAACCACAGACTAATCAGAGTAAAAATAATTTTGCCTTAGCATAAAAATAATGTCTTTAGTATGATAAAATATGTTCCTGTTATGAAGTAATTTTTAGTTAATTTTATAATGCAATTTTTTACTCCCAATTTCTTTAAAATCCAATAGTTTTAAAGAGGTTAAAAGTCACATAAAACTGTAAGCTTGTAAAGATCAGACCACCATCCCCCACCTTCACACCACATCGTCCCCTTCATAACACTACTTCCATCACTCTGACCAGGGCTTGATGATGTGGTCCAACAAGTGGCCATTAATTATAGTTTTCAATTTTCGTGCCAGATCATGCTTTCTGGCAGTGTCCACGAATGCAATTGTTTCCTGTTTTTTCGAAGGAAATATTAAATCTCTATCACTTTCTTTGTAGATTCTGCCTCATGGCTGATTTTGCAGCATATGTGAAGTGTCAAGAGAGAGTCAGTGAGGTCTATGCGGTAAGTTCCATCGTTCGAGCTGTTTATGCTCCGTGTGAATACTTTCCGAGTTCATGCACGTATTCGTGTGCATGGGTGAGGGGAATCGCAGTAAACTGTGAAAGAATCATATTGCCTTTCTTCCCAAATCGATTCACCGATTCATCTAATTCAGTGAATGACTGAATTCTTAGTTGCACAGAGCTGCGTAAGCTGTAGTTGAGTTGCCATTTGTACATTATCATTTGAGATATGGCTAATGCCGCTGCATTCATGTATTTCTGTGTTCGTTCGTCTGCAGAACCCGATGGCATGGGCCCGCATGTGCATCATGAACATAGCTGCCTCGGGCAAGTTCTCGAGCGATCGCACCATCACCGAGTATGCACGCGAGATCTGGGGTGTCGAGCCCAACGACGTCAAGCTTCCAGCTCCGAACGAGGTGAAGGGAGACAAGACTACCCAGCTGCCCAGCACCTTTGAATAGACTCTAGCAGAAGCACTGCTTGGGACGGGTGTGGGAGTGGTCATGTCACGCGGTGACAGTTGTTGGTTATTTACGACGTCCAATAGTTGTTTCGATATAGATGGTGGGATTCCACTTTGCTGTTAATGTTGTTGCTAGCTATAAAAAGTGCACTCGTTTCAGTATTTCCTCAGTGGCCGCATGCGCGACTAGGAAATGCACTTAGATGAGAATTTTCCGGTGATTTCACTACTATGGTGATACAGTAAGAATTGGCAGACCTCCGCAGCAATCGCCTGTTAACAATACTACATGGGTTTGTGTCAAGGGGCACACGTGACCAGGTAGAGCTACTGATGTTGAGGCTTAATTCTGATTAGCTAGTCTATTTAACTTGAAAAAATACTAATTAAAATGGAGTGAACTTCTTGTGGTGCAAAACCAATCCCGCGTGACGATATTGAAGAAAAAACAAGTAACCGGTGTAGTGCTAGGCTGAGTCAGTGTGAGTGTAGTGCGTGAATTTGCAAGCAACCTTATGATGAGTAATTCTATCTCGTATAGGACTGCAAGTCAATACAGCTATAGTTGTGATATGCAGAACCAGTGAGTCGGTACCTTATTCCAGTATTCAGTGTAGGAATGTTGGACAAAGTCAAACATAGAATGGCCCGGATCCCTGTAAGTTGTTATTGATTCCCCCAGTCTTAACCCAGTAACATCCATATTAATAATACGATCACTTACAAGTTTTGAATAATGGCAGTATTTATTTTCAAATAACATATATGGTCACATTTTCTTGTTGTTGTTGTTGTTGTTGTTGTTGATGGTTTTGTTTATGTCGGTAAGAATGAGTTGTTCGGTGAAAATTTAAAGATATTTGGATGACTAAAAATCGGAAAAAATACAGAAAAGACTTTCCAGGCAAGGCTAGTATTTCTGGTTTACATTGTTATTTACTATATTTGGTGTAGTTTGTTGATAGGGGACTTGTAATGCTATACCATTTATGCAGTAACTATTAAAACCTCAAGAGAAACCAAAGCCTGTTAGTGACTATGCTGTTTTTTGTTTTCTTGTGTGTTCATAGAATTTAAATTTGCAGCTAATGTGCAAATTAATTTTACAGAATTAGTGACTACATTCTGTAATCGTGCTATGTGCTATCGTCACATCAACATGCCAATTATGCATAATTATGCAGGTTTGAACACTCGATCCTGTATTTCTGCAATGTTGGGCAAAACCTATACTTTCCCATGTATTCAGGAAAACTGCTTATAGATTTTACATTTTCGAAAAAACAGGTCTAAAAACATGCTTTCTCCAATTACAATTGGAAAAGTACTTATCCATACTACGTACACTACAGACAGTCGACAAACGTGCATAGGCCTACACTAGCTATTATAAAAAGCTGCGTTTGATAGCTAGAGTAGATGCAGTAAAAGCGGTGAAATTTCTGAAATCTCACGATCTAAACAAACTCAAGTCTATGAACATAATATGTGTTGCGTGCAATCCAATTCTGCCCAATCTACGAATCTGCCGACTGTGTGGCAGCCTAATTGAACTGTAGCACCTAAACCCCACGCTGATAAACCTGTCTGGTAAATCGGGATCCTCTTACCTCTTCTTCTTCCTTCTTTCTTTTTTTCTCTCTTTTTTTGAATCTCAGGGGGGATATTTGTACAGGCCATCCCCCCTCCTTCAAGAGCAGGGGGATGCATCCCCCTATCCCCCCGGGATTTATGCCCATGTTGAGGGGGGGAACGGGGGGGGGGTACATTCCCACTTTCCCAGCAAAAAAATCCCCATATCCCAGTTCCCAGTGAAATAAAATCCCAATTCCCAGTTCCCAGGAAATTATGTAGACATGTTTTAGGAAACTCAGTCGTTTAGGTTTTCAAACACTAGATAAATACTAATATTTACATACTATTATTTATCTGGGGTCTACATAAATCTTCTGGCTAAAAATAAATAAATTAAAATTTTTTTTTTTAATATTAGCGCAGAAATTGAAATCCCGACGAATTGACACAATTTTCCCAGATCCCAGACAATTGTAGAGGGTTTTTCCCACGTCCCGATGGACTCCTGTTCCCGAATCACGGAAAATTTATCTGCCATTTCCCAGTTCCCAGCTAATTAAAATGGCCAATCCCGCGTCCCGAAAATACCCGTTCTCCATGTTAGTGACTGCGGTGCTCTGCGCATAGCGCAGCCGCATAGCGTAGTGCAGCGCGTAGCGCTGCACGGAGCGGAGCGGGGACACAGGGTGCTCGAGGGGGGTGTCCCCCCCCCCTCGAGTTTGAAATAAAAATAAAAATAACGCCTAAAAATACCGCATTTCCTTGCACATTTTTCTGTATTATATCATATTTTACTTGTTGTTGTTTCATTAAAATCATCATGATTTTGGCAGAAGAAAAATTTGTCATACATTCCTTGGGTACTCACATCATTTATTGGCTAATAAGGCCGACTTGAGTCTCTTGACAGTATCCTTCCCCACCCCACCACCCCACGATTCAGAATACCCAGCCAGAATACGGCCCGACGCGCTGACCCCGGGCAAAGCATGCTCCCTCAATATAACGCAACGGCATGCTGCCTGCATAGAATCAGGAGTAGACGGGGAGCAGAGGAATGTGTGCTAGAGTTCTGGATCATAAAATTTTATAGCTACAGGTGACCTGACCTCATCTGACCCTGGTCTCCGCTTATAGGGGCCTAGATTACACGTATATACATGATATATGTACCGGCCAAAAGACGGTATAAATTAATGAAAGATTTTGGTTACGGAAAATTTATGGCATGAAAAAAGTGCTGCGGCAGTTCCGACGCCCTTGCACTACACTACACGTGCACAACACTACACGTGCTCGCCTATGGAAATGAGATTGCACGCTCTTATGCGCGTATTGTGCATATACTATATAAACAAAAGCTCACAGAGCACACCTGAACTTCGACCTCTAAGAAAGGTGTGCAAACATTGTACGCACATGTATACATAATTCATGTGCAAAATACGTGTGCAGTACAGCAGTCTCAAGAGTGACAGTACACCTGTACTACAACAGACTATTAAACCACTTCCTATTCTAAAGTTCATTTTGCCAAATTTCCTTCGAGATTGCACATCGTGTCCACCATTTGCGATTGCACAGGTAAGTGTAGCTGTAAAGCTTATTTTTAGTGACATTTAATTTATAATGAACTGCATGAAATGATGGTGAAACTCATCGACATCCCATAGTGAACTAGATATACCAGCGTTGATCAGGTGTATGTATTATAGCGGTAAAATCAGAAAATCCGAAAGGAAAGTGACCCGTGAATGTGGAGAGAAGGGGGCATGTACCAGGAAGTAATCTGTGAATAAGTTGGAAAATTACCTAATTATTGACATTAATACATTCGGCTAGCCATCCGAGGGAGGCTACGCGTACAAGCAAGTTGCAGCCCTTCCTGGTATATCACGTCAGTAGCAATATTGTGGTTTATAAACACGGCCATGCGCGTATAAACTGGAACTGAGGGTCTCCAAGTCTGGGAACCTATACTATACTATAACTAAACAGCAACTACGGTTTCACTTTCAAATGATGCACAAACGCGAAACGACCTATAACACCTTCACGGCTCGTGAGTATTACCATTTATATCTCAATAAATAAAATGTTTTTAAATAATTAATATAAATACTTTTTCATTTTAAAATTTTCAAGCCTATTCCAACCTCAAAGTAGGTACTGAAAACGGTAAACGGAATAATCGGCCAAATAACATTTTCATGGTGACCTGCCCTGCAGTAATGACGTTGAAAAGCTATTAGCTGCAATTAGTTGGTTGTGGTTAATTTAGCCAAAATGTTTGATCTACCGTTAACTTTTATTTGCTGTTGTTAACGCTACTGCTTGGTTAGAATTCAGCCTCATTGAGACCATGCTTATAAGTTATATCATTCCCTGTTTTGTGTTATGATTTGAACATGCTTTCTTACATTAGACTGTGCATTTCTTACATTATAATCAGATACAGGATGAAGTTATTTCTGGTGGCTACTTATTGCCTGGCTATCCTTGCGAGCGCCAGTGAAGGCAGGAAATATGACGATCCAGAAGAACTTCTCAATGTTTGCATGGACGGAATAAATCATAAGAAAGCACCAAGTGTTGAAGAGCTTTATGGTCAGGTGTGTTTCTGCTAACATGTTAGCTATGATGTAACATAGCTCCTGCTAAACAACGTCATGAGAATCATACGTTAATACTTATTTATTTACTTATCAAGTTATTATAACATTGAGATCAACGTCAACTTACATCTATAATGAAATATTTCATCAACTCAGGGCACTACATGATAGTTCCATATTTAATTCGATTGTTTTATATATTAACTATTTTAATTTAATAATAACTTTAATGCTGCATGTTCATATAGTGTAAGCCTTGGGCTAGCAACGCCTGTTGTACATACAACACCACGAAAGAGTTCCAAACAAATCCCACCTGGTATGATATGGACTGGAACCACTGCAAAATCCCACTTAGTCAGAGCTGCAAAAAACATTTCATGCAAGACCTGTGTTTTTATGAGTGTGAAGCAAATCTTGGACCATGGCTAAAAAATGCAAGTACCACAACATTTACGATCATATCATTATTGTACCACTGACAACATCTGAAATTGTGAACGACAGAAAGTACTACATTTCAGTTTTCATGCGTGTCCATAGTTTCCCGTCATTATGCCTTTTTGTGGCTGCATAGCCTCTTGTATCATCAGTTCATCGCACAAGCGAGGCAATCATAACTCAAATGCATTCATAGTGATCAATCATGAAATAAATCATCATCATCAATCAATCATCAATCATGATTATGATGATCATCTCACACTAATTCGAGGTGATATATTGAAATTACGCTGCTGGGGTTCCCCACTTTCCTTTTCACAAAACTTGTGCAAATAAGTTTGGTTGCTATTTAAAACCAACATGGCATCAGAGATGTTCAGGCTCCTTGGTGTCTCCGTTAGTTGCTGACAACATAGGTTTCCTGTGGTCCCTTGTCACAGAGACATCGTAAAGACAAACGTTGATACTAATTTTGTTCCAGACAAAAAAAACCTGGGAATTGTAGACTCCACGTGGCAAGAACACCCGTGAACGTCTTAAACTGATACACTTACAAAATTTCAGGTGTCAATGAATATCAGAAATGAGAAATTTATAGACGTGCCGCTATGTCGCAGTGAATGTGACAACTGGTGGAATGACTGCATGCATGACTGGACGTGCCTGGATGATTGGAGCACAGGCTTCGACTGGTCTTCTGGTAGAGAAACGTTCGCCAGCAGTTACCATATGCAGCTAGGGATTATTTATTATAATGCAACTACTATATCTGAAAACGTATTTTCATCCATTGAATTTTAGACAGTCTCCATCACAATAATAATATCAGAGTGAATATTAATAGACAGAGATATAGATAGAATCTATTATTATTCACTCCTTATAATATTATATGTGACCTAACACACTGGATGCGTATGAAATATTTTCAGGACAAAATGAATGCCCTAAAGGTGCAGAATGTAGAAAGATCCTGGAACTGTTTGGCGATTCAGTGACATTCTGTGAGCAGATATGGGGTTCCTCCTACAAAGTGGTTGATGACAAACAGCCCTGCATGAAGATATATTTTAATGCAAGCGAAGGTATGATTGCGCAACCAATTTTTAATACCAGAAAAACTATAGAATAGAATTTTGCTATAACAACTTACTGAAATATATTTTAAATAGCAGATTCATGGTGACAATAGAAAATTCCGTAAACCCACATCTTCGTTGGTCCAGACATTTCAGCATTCTAGCAAATTCACTGGACACTAATTTTTCCATCAGGTATATATATACATATATATCAGGAGTAGATAATAGGGATGATAGTAGATAATCCCTATTATCTACTCCTGATATATCTATTTACATATATATGCATATATATTATAACCATATTCTGGAATCTGTTACAAATTTTCTTATAGGCAACCCAAATTCAGAAGTCACAGAGTGGAAGGTCGAACAGATGAGCTCTACTATGCAAACAAGAGCACTGCTCTCTTCTACTCTACTGATTACCTTATTGGCAGAGATGCTTCAGCAACAGTGATCACCAAATAGCGATCTCCCATCAAATCGTTATCTGGATACATCCATCAGAATTAAATGCAATCAGTAGTGAATCCAGAAAATAGAGATTGGCAATGTAGGTGCTTTCGATATATGCAGATAAACATTATCATATAAACGTAATCAAGGAAAGGCAAGACTGTTATAAAATGCTACAGAAGAGCCCATGTATAGTATAGACATGCGCACCAATTAGAAGCAGAAAAAAATTCGATTGATGCTGTAAATTAATAAGAGAATTCTTGTTTTTCTTCTTATTATTATAAACACAATTGATTGCATGTGATGTCCTTTATAGAAAACAAACTATATTATAGTCTTATTGAGATAATATATCTATAATCTAATAATAATAATAGATATATTATTATTCACTCCTGGTCTTATTAAAGGAACAAGTAAAAGCATATCCACTTGGTTAATATCCTTTCATATAAATAAAACGTGAAGACAATTGCATATATGTATAATGTGATAAATATAGTTCTGCCAAAATGACAATTTACACTTTTAAACAGCACTAAAATGAAGCAATAAACTTATTATAATGGCACAACTTCAGGGCTCTTAATTCGACAATTTCTTACCAGCATATTGTGACATTAGGCATACAGTGCAAATGATATATAGAGTGTGAATGTGACCCGTGGAATCTATAAAATTAAAAACGATTAAACAACATTATTTGAAATTTTTAATGAAAATTTATACATACTTACAAATACTAATTGAATAGCATAAGCATAGATTATAACACCTTTTATAAACAATGAATATATACGAGTTACATCACTCAATGAAACCCACTTATATGACAGAAAATTACAATAGGTAGGTTCTAGAAAAATTACTTCTACACATAACTGTTACAATATACAACTGATTCAGTATTGTGCTGCCTGTAAGTTCATTCCGCGCCTTATAGTGAATTGTGTGAACCAGTATACGCAATCTCACTCGCAGTGATGTTGAGTGGTCTGCAGAGGCTGTCTGCACTATTAAGAAGATTATAACATCTGAAACGTTACTCAAATACTAGTATAACAGTGCAAAGAAACTTCATCTTCAATGTGACGCATCTGACTTTGGGCTAGCAGCAGCAGCACTGATGCAAGATGGCGAGCCAATTGTATTTGAAAGTCGTTTTTGTTGACGCGGACAGAATGTAACTATGCACAGATAGAGAAGGATCTCTTAGCGGTGATCTTTGGATTAGAGAAATTCCATCAATACACCTATGCACACCATGTGTTTGTGCAGTCTGGTCACAAGCCACTAGAAGTCACAATTAAGAAGCCACTTCACGCAGCTCCAAAGCGACTTCAGCGCATGATGCTTCGGCTCCAAGCCAGTGAAAAAAATACACGGGAGCTCGGGGCGATTTAGCCCCCGAAATGCCAAAAAAAGCCCCGGAAATGCCAAAAAGAGCCCCCGTAAATTTGCATAGAGTTCAAGGCAAACCAAATATTAGAGTGCTATTTTCATGCACGCGAGCTTGAAATGTAGCCCCCGAAAAATAAATTTGATTTTTTTCCCTGCTCCAAGCATATGATGCGATGTAGCGCTAAATTGTTTGTAGCACTATGCTACAAACCGGGCAAAGAAACGCTCATTGCAGACACTCTAAGCAGAGCCCCTGCTAACAACGTTTGTAGAGCATCCAGGGAGGAACAGGTAGAGAAGGTAAACATGCTTCAGCATTTACCCATAACAGATTATAGGTTACAGCAGATACAAGCATATACAGAAGAAGATATCTGTTCAATTCTGCTTACAGACATTGAAGAATGTGATAATAAGCAGATGGCCTGAGTCGAAGGACAAGGTACCACATATTGTACACCCTTCTTATTCCACCCTTGAGGAACTCAGCATCCAAGATCGTATCTTATTTCGAGGAGAGAGAGCGATCGTGCCACAGAAGCTTCGTCATGAGCTATTACAGCAAATCAATTTATCACACATCAGAATAGAAGGTTGTCTGAGATGAGCACGAGACTTACTCTATTGGCCAGGGATGAATGCCGAAGTTAAGGAATATATACGTCGCTGTGATGTGTGCAGAACGCATGATGAACACAAGCAGCAAAAGGAGACTCTCATTCCTCATGATGTGGTGAACAGACCATGGGCTAAAGTAGGGGCAGATCTATTTTTATTCGACACTAGGGATTACCTGATCACACTGGATTATTATTCCAACTGGTGGGAAATCGTTTATCTGCCAAATACGAGCACAGAGACAGTGGTGATGAAGCTTACAGTTTGCACGTCATGGCATTCCAGATGTCATTATGTCAGACAACAGACCACAATTCACTGCAGAGGAATTCTGCCGGTTTTCACAGCAATGGAACTTTAAGCACATTACGTCCTCGCCATGATATGCACAAAGCAACGGGAAGGCAGAACAGGCAGTTAAGACAGCAAAGAGCATGCTTCGCAAAGCCAAGGAGGGAAATTCAGATCCTTATCTAACCATACTGGATCACAGGAATACTCCAACTCAACACTTAAACACCAGTCCAGCAAAGCGACTGATGAGTCGACTGACGAAAACACTCCTACCAACAAGAGCATCGCTACTGCAGCTGAAAGTGACTGGTGATGTCAAGACGAAATTAGACTACAGTAAGCTTTGTTAGAAATTTTACCATGATCAACAAGCCAACGATTTGGAACCACTTAAGCCAAGAGATATGGTGCACATACAACCAACACGATATGAATGCTTGATTAAATAACTTCATCGGATCTCTATAATTTACATGCTAATAAAGTTAATCTTAGTTAGATCCATAATCAGTACAAAATAACTTACTCTGACGAAATTTTCGTCCATCTCTCCGACAGACTGCCTCAGGTCTAACGTTTCCAGGTAGAGGGCAGACTGGAACTGGACGACATAATGGAGTTGCTGGAATTCGGGCTCACCACCACCTATTTCATGTTTGGCGGACAGTTATATCAACAGAAGCTCGGCACGGCGATGGGTAGCCCCGTATCTCCAATCGTTGCCAACTTATACATGGAAGATTTAGAACAGACAGCCATCAATACAGCGTCTGAACATATCAAACCCAGATTTTGGAAACGCTATGTAGATGACATACTAGCGGTGGTTACCAAGGGATCCACACGCATCCTCAATGATCATCTCAACTCAATAGATATGTCCGGCAACATACAATTCACCTCTGAAGAAATGGAAAACAACAGCATTCCTTTCCTAGACACGAAGATTGTGAGCAGAGAAGATGGTACGATAAAAACCGTGGTCTACAGGAAGAAGACCCATACCAATCAATATCTGAACTTTCAGTCTCACCACCCGTTAACTCACAAACTGGGCGTCGTCTGCACACTCGCTTGATAGAGCGAACACAGTTGTAACGGAACCGGAAGATATACGCGCCGAGGAACTTGAGATTCGACATGCACTTCGAAATTGCGGCTACCCAAACTGGACAATTGAAGACACAAAATGGAAAATAGAAACAAAAGTGACCAACAACAAATTGAAAAAGAAGGGAAACAACTTGAAAACGAAAAATAGGGGGTTAGTTATCATTCCTTACATCAAGGGCATGTCCGAGAGGTTAGCCCGCACCTTAAGGACATTCAACATCTCTTCAGCTTTAAAACCCCACAAGACCATCAGGAACGTCTTAGTTCATCCCAAGGATAAAATTGAAAACAAAAATACTACAGGACGTGTATACCGTATCGCCTGCTCGAACTGTGACAGCGCGTACATTGGGAAAACAGGCAGAAAATTTGGCACACGTTTAAAAGAACATCACACCAGCGGCTCGTGCGTCCACTTCAGGACAACAGCACAAGTCAGCCATAACAGACCATATGGTCGATCAAAAACCATCTGCCGGACTGGAAAGCGGCCACTGTGGTGTCAAAGGAATCAATTCCGAGGCGCAGACAAATCAGAGAAGCAATTTACATCTGCAGAGAACCGACTACAATGAATAGAGATGAGGGGTCATACAATCTATCCCACATTTACAACAACATTCTCAGATCTGCACCCACTCGAGAGGACCGCAGGCTGGAGGCCGCCCGAAAATGACCAGGATCGAACTTCCGTTTCCAGTGCTGCCATCTACCTGGAAACGTTAGACCGGAGGAAGTCTGTCGAAGAGATGGACGAAAATTTCGTCAGAGTAAGTTATTTTGTACTGATTATGGATCTAACTGAGATTAACTTTATTAGCATACAGATAGTCCTCATAGAGACCAACCAACGTAGATGACCTCTACCTGCTCTGTGGCATCGCTCCCCCACACGTTAGACGAATGGCTTCATCCCAAGTAGAGAAACTTAACCAAGAAAATGACTCTCGCCACCCCCTCTTCCAGCATGAAACAGTAAAGAAGAGACTAAAGTCCAGGCACAGTTTCATCCATGCGGTTCAACCCCTGGATGGCAACCTCCAAAACTACAGGATCGCCCAATGGTCAAAGCATCTTCAGGCAAGCCAACATAAGCTTTCACTCAGACCCCAGGAATCCCTCCCGCCCGGAGCCAACGAGGTATGGCCGACGTGGTTGTGCCTGAATTGCCCCAGGACAGGTTTTGGTCGATGTAGGGCACTCATGCAGAAATGGGGATACACTGAACATGGTCCAATCGAATGCGACTGCGGGGAGGACCAGACTATGGGACATCTCCTGAAATGCCCCTTATTGCCAGAGCCCTGTAGCCCTGGAGACCTTGAGGCTTTCAACCACCGTGCCAAGTCCTGTGTGCTGCAGTGGCTGGGCCGAGTGTAATGTAGTGACCTGAGAAGAAGAAGAAGACCTGTCCTGTGACTCAGTTTTAATCCACAGATTAAATTCTTCCTAGTGTAGTTCGAAAAAGTCACTTGGGGCATACATCGAATCACACGTCATTACGTGTTGCCAATGGCGTGTGCGATGAATTAATAGCTAGCGATATTGTAAGGTGCGGCTTATGGCAGCTATTTTGACGTAATGAAGTTCTCTTTGTGGCTGTTTGCGCGAAACAGGGCAAATACATTTAACAAAAAGACACCAACGTGCCAACAACAGACAATTCCATTTAAAAGTTTCAATCTGTAAGTAACGCGTTACAGAAACTATTGGTGATTAACAATCATCGTACTCTGTTATAATCTTAGTTCAGGTTTTGATGTTCATTCTCGTTGGAGTTTTTGACTGTGTTTGCCTTGTCGCTTAACATAGTCATGATGCAGGTCGTGACATTTTATAGCATCGCGTAACGCAATTAATTGTCTTGATGGAAGCTTCACTGGCCTTTAAGCGATTTGATTTCTAAGTTAGTATTTCAGTAAATATTGTCTATCTCTGAATCCGGAATCAAGGAGTCATCAGCTGGCTGAATGCTGCTGGGAGCGTGCAGAAGTAAAGTCGCAAGTAGATCCTCGCTCATATGAAATATTGCGTGAGGACCAACGTATATTGCGCAGGAATCGTAAGCATCTACATAATACAAGAGAAGCAAATTTTCCAGCTGTAAGCTACTATGCTGATGAAATCGAAGCTAGTCCTGTAGCTCAGCCTGACAGTGGTAAGAGTCAGATCATTCCAAAAAGCAAGGAATTTCCAGCAGGACAGTGTTGCAAATACAGGTGCAGATGTTGAAACACTGACAGCGGATCCACATCTGCCCGTAGAAGTGAGACGCAGCAGTAGGAGAAGCAGAAATCCTGCATACCTGAAAGACTTTGTGACTGATTGAGATGCATAATCCTGCTGCCAGGATTCAGTGAATAGTTATGGATTTCTGTTAGAGAATTTTCTTTTTTGTTACTGACTTCAGTGAAAACGTTGTAAAACTGATACAAATTATTTGTTGTAGCATTGCAGTGTTTCTGGACTGACACCAACGAGAACATGTGTGCAAGTTTAAATGACTTTATTTAGTAAATGTAATATATCACATTCTAGATTTACTTCCTGCAATAGTTGTCAAGGCCAAATTTACTTCTTTAAAAAAGGGAGATTCCGTAGCGTAAAATTCAGTAGTGTGCTGTCACCTACTTTGTTATATAGTTGAGCTCAAGCATGAGCTCGCTCTCTGTAACCGTGTGGCATTGGGTTGTATATCATCTCCCTTGAGTAGAAAGCTGAATAAAGTGTGTTGCAGTGTAACACAAGCCGTTCGTATGTAATACTTGTCTGAGCACAGAAGTGATACATCTACCATGGCCACAAACAGAGGATTGACAATATTGTAAACGTCACGAATTTCTGACCTGATCAACTTCATAGCCTCTATAAACAATATTAAATTAATTTGATTAAATAAAACAGCACTATACTGTATACACATACATAATATCAGGAATACTTCTAATAGGACCCTCTTTATATTCATGCTCTTCATAATATACACGTACATACCAAAGATGCACCATTCAGGCAGGTTTTGCATTGAATATTGGCAACGATCTAACAAATTCATCCAGCTTGCTCTTGAACAGTTCACTTGTTATTGGTTCTCCAAGTGCACACATAGGGTTCTTCACAACATACTCTACATATATCTGAAAGAAAACACATGGAATTTTATCATCTTCTAGTCATCTTCGATACATATGTAAAGTCCCCCAATCAAATTAGACGGTTAAACTTAAAGTGCACTGTTTATGAAATGTGCGTGTTTCTGCAATCAATCTCTTCTGCATCTAATATCATTTTAGTAGCAGTTCACAACCTTAGCTGCTACAGTTACAGTGGGCTGTACAAAGAGAAAACCGTAATACAGTAAACAGCAATCGCCTTTAGGTAAAATTTGGTCATTAGGTCAAAACCTAAAACCCAAACATGATAGTGATAAATTACCCACTCAGCTGGTATCGATGCCAGCTATGCAGTAGTGCACTTCCCTCTCCATCACAATTATTCAAATTCCGTATCCCTTTCCCTCCCAGTATTATCATGATACTGTACGTGTTGCACCATCAAATAATCAATATATATGGATTTAAACATGTGTTCTTCCATTAATAATTGTCCTTCTAGTGACTCCTTCAACTTTCCTAAAGGAATTTTTCCTAAGAATACATCTCCAATTATATAATGGAAGTCAATAGGAATACTACAATTACTTAGAACGCATTAATTACATAACATGGGATATTGCTGTCCATATCATAATTTAATTATTGAACTTTTGCATTAATTTTCTAGAAGGTTTAAAGAGAAATACTAATCTGGAATATGAGAGTACATATTATCAGGAGTGGATAATAGAGGTCTCTATTATATTATGATACTTATTACATAAAAATAGTATACACCTACACATTTATGTTATCAGAAACTACAGATCCTTTTGTTTTTTTTAAACATTGAAAAACAACAATTATGAGCACTGACATAACTGTACTGCCTACACAAAACAAGTGCCGCAGAGCGACAGCGCTCAACTGACGTGTACTGTAGCCGGGTATTCTTCTGATAAACTCACTGGCAACCGAATTAAGTGAGCCCTCCCGCCACCGTGTTCGCGCTCAGAGAGCATATATCTAGGATACTACTAATACAGATCTAAAATCTATGATAGGCTTTGCTATACCGGTAGTACAGTAATAAAGATACAGCTGTGTAACTTTAATGACTTCGCTATATTAACATGTTATCATGGATATGCATCGAGCGCGAGCGTAGTGGTGGTGGTGGGGGGGCTCTAATAGCAAAAGCAGTTCAGTCCTTTGTTAACAGTCAACAAATCCATGTTTAACCCTCCTCTTGAGGGTCAAAAGGTTATCAGACACTTACTCTTCGCACGTCAGCGGAAAGTACATTTCATGGTCCTTTCAATAAAGTGATAAAAATGGTAGGTCAGTGCTGAAACAAAAAAGTTTTGCACTCGGTCCGTTAGACCATGTACTCAGAAAATGTCTGATATCTGACCTTTCCCCCACTGCCCTTTGACCTGTGACCTCCAATTTCGCACTGGTGATGCATTTCCTCCCCATAACACTATACATAGAATATTACGAGCGTAGGTCAAGCCGTTGAGATTTGTGCTGTAATTCTGTATTTCATCCTATACCTTAAGTTAAGGGGGAAATATTCCCCTCCATTGACACATCTTAACCTTTGACCCTTGACCCCCAAATTCGACACCCCGAGTCCTTTTCGCGATACCCCCGACGTCCTGAACATCAAGACCGTACGTCGAGCGGTTAAGATTTGTGCCCTAACTGTTGACACACGGACGGAAGGACGGCCGGACGGACGGACATTCATGCGATTAGAACTACAAGCTGCATCCGACTTCGTCAGCTGAGCTAAAAAGTTACACTTTTAAATTTCTATCAACAAATAAGTACAAAACGGTTTTTGTATACCTGACTATAAAGCTGATGGAGGACATCTCGTATGTTACCAGGTATAGACTGATCTGTATTCATCACAAACTTCAATCCACTGGGTGTCTCATAAAAGTGGAGCTTATACTTGCTGGTTGAGTAACATAGAAACCCATCCTTGCTGATAGCCTTTAGTCAAGGAGTTACACACACTATTCGCAATGCTTTAACTTTCATTACTACAAGGCAAATATTTAACTGCTCGTGAAAAAGGAAACAAACCGTTACAGTCAACTCTCCACCTAACACCCTCAAGACCAAATCTCATGTTAAAAACCGGATGATTTGTTAAGTCCCAACACCATCTGCGACATGTAACTGTAAGATATGTGCCTGGAATAGGAATCGTGTACTGGGGAGAAATACACATTTTTCCGGAAATAGCCGAACGGTAGTAGGGCGCAACTTCGGGATCGCTCGGGTCCATAATACACGTGTGTACACATGTATACGCATTGTAAATCCTAACCCTAAGTTCTAACCCTAATCCTAACCTAACCCTAACCCTAAAAAAAAAAATAAAAAAAATATAAAATAAACACGCAGGGATTCGCAACCAACGGAGCCTATCAGAGCGTAACGCTTCGCATTCTACTGAGCTCGGCTATTGAGCATTAATTGAAATATCACGACATATACGCCTAAATAAAACCAAAACCCTGGTATGTAACAATAGGTAGTTTCCCTGGTGCAATAACTCCTGGAATAGGCCCACTTGTAAACCCAACTTCACCAGAACAAAAACTAAGTGAACGCGGTCCTAGGGTTAGTCAGTATTGGAATTTGGTGTTATAACATGCCAAAACTGAATATAACATTATGCACAAGATCGCTAAGAATGTAATGCTCCAACAGATCTGCATTGTTCGATACGTTCTAAATCAACTTACTCATCTTACCTCCAGTATACCTTCTCTTTATAAGGCAAGTAATCTCTAAAGAAAAATGAATTTACATTAATATTATTGCCAGGAAGGCAACAGGTCTACTGAGATATCTATTGATGAAAGACTTGATGCAGGAACAACAAATTCCATACAGCAGCTTGTATTCCTGGTAAAAAAAAAAATTAAAGTATCAAAAGTGCTGAGCCTCTGACTACATTGTGTCAGTGTTATAGTTCCAGGCGGCGTGAGCTAGGGGTGAAATGGATGTGTACGAGCACAAGGACGCGGGGTCAGGGGAGTCCCCACAGAAAATTTTGAAAATGCTAATCGCAGGAGAGTGAATTTGAGGCACATTTGAGTACATGTGACAGGCTTCATCTGACTACGACATTATCTTTTTAGTATAATTATTTCTCTCATGCAGCAACAAAGATGTGAGCACATACAAGATCATATAACAATCAGTATATTTTCGTTATTTGATTATCAAACATGTTGAACTAACGCACATTCTTAAACTCTCTTCTCTCTCTCCCCTCTCTGTGTGTGTGCGTGCGTGCGTAGCGGGAGCGAGCGTATGCATGTGCGTGTGCTGGTGTGCGTTGGCGTGGTGCTGCTCAAACACTACACAACATCACTCATTGCACATCACAGCACATATATATTATATATGACAATTTAGTTCTGATCTGACTGACTCTCTTTCTCTCTTTTCTCTCTCTCTCTTCTCTCTCTCTCTCTCTCTCTCTCTCTCTCTCTCCCCCCCTTTGTCTCTCTTGCCCTCTCTCTCTCTCTCTGCAATAAAAAAATGTTTGGTGAAATGATGTGTACGCAACTGCGTATCTGCGTTATGGTAGCTACACCCTTGTGTTCCACAGTAAAAATCCACGTATTACGGTATACAGTTTTTAACAACACATTACTGAAGGGACACTAGTACATTCTAGAATTTCAGGGCATTTTATGACACTATCATGTCACGGTGGTCACGAGCATCATGTGATCATGCTTACTAAGTACTATAACCCGATACCAGATATACCTCATCATCAGCCATGCCCGCCTTCCTGTGACGGCTCCACTCTGCATAGTGTAGGCATGTGCCATTACGATCAAATAAGTAGAAATTATACACGACCATCTGAAAAATAGAAGAAAAAAACAATAATCACAAGTCAACTAGAACCATGGGATAATTAATAAAGAAGAACATTTGAAGCCATCTGCAGTTTTTCCAATGTGCAAAACAAAGCCGATGGGGGCGGGCAAGGAGCCGTGAAAAACAAAACAGAAGGAAGAAGCAGAGGGAGAAGTAGAGGAGTGGAAACTAGGATAGGGAAGTAGAAAGTAAGGAGGATGTAATATAGGAAGCAAATGGGATTTATAGAAGAGGGAGGTGGGGTGGTAACAGGAAGTAAACCAGGTAAAGCCAAAGAAAGTCAAGGATTTAGGGGAACGGTGGTACCTCTACCTTTTTCTATCTTACGTCCATGATTTTTTGCCATAGCACATAGCACTTCTATTTCCACCCCCTACTTCTTCATCTACTGCCAACTCCTTTCTCTCTACCACTACAATATTCTCTACTGATGAGCTGGGCTACTGAAAGTTAGTGCCAATAAAGCTAGCAATATGCTGACTGACCTCTACAAAATCTAGGAGCAAACGTCACCCCATTAGCCTGGATTAAGGGCGTCATATTCAAGTTACCAACAGTGACTTCATATTGTGATAATTGCTAAGGAACAACTCTTCATTTCAGTCATAGCAAAATTTTTGTAGGATATTCTCAGATGCCATTAATGACAAATTCAAATAAGAATAAGCAGGGTTAAAGAAAGGAAGACTGACTGTACATAAAACAGTATTTACTTTACACAACATGATGAAGCAGTACCTGAAGCGGAAACCACGATTCAACATTAATTTTCCTTAAAATTAATTACAGTCAGTACTCATGTACAACTCTGAACAATATTATTAATATATGCAATATATACTGGACAAAGAATTCCATTATGAAGGAGTATACGAAGACTAGCTACAAGAAAACATCAGCAGAAACGAAATGCAGAGAACCAGACGGCTAAGACATCTGCTGTGCTTGGAGACTGGATCACTGGACCACTGGATCACTTGATCCTGATGGCCCCAAACAAATGCAAACTCGCTTCCAACGTATCACGTTTCGCTGTAACCCATTACAGGATGGTTCATAACAAACAACAACCTGTGATTTGCTGGGCTGCACGCTGCCATATTCATGATATCAAGAGCGGATAATACCTAGAGTGTACAACGGAAAAACGGGAAAATAGTGCTATTTCACGACTACATTATTCTACTTTGCCTGCGAGTCTAGAATAATTTCATGGTATTGCATTAAGCAGAATTCTTTGCTCTCTAAAACAAGACCAACCGCTTGTGCGCAAAAATAAATGGGAAAAAAGGGTGGGTGGGGGTTTTCGGGGCAGCCGCACTTCCCTTGGCTCTTCTCTTCTCACTGCTCATGCCCTTTGCGCTAGGAGCTTCTTGTCATACCTGTCGACAGGACTATTTTCTTTGAGCTCAGGGGGTGTGGGCCAGTCCGAGCAACCAAAGCTTCGCAGCCAGATCTCCTGCGGTCCCAGTCGACTGCCACAGCAAACGTGGTAAGCAGCAGCTGACCGGCGTACCAACCCCACGTCTGGAGCAGGTGGAGTCTTGACTAGAAACACCGAGACACTTGACGAGCACGGCCTTGTTGCCCCTTCTCACATCCATACTCATCAATCAGGGATGTTGGGACTGGCTGCAGTTCAAACTGGAAGATGTTGTATAGATCCACGCTCCGCTGCTGCCCCAAGACAAGCAGCGCGCCTAACAGTGTCCTCGATGTCGTAGATGGCCTTCCCCTTACAGTGAACTGCCGTTCTTGAGTGCCTCCATTGATGTGACCATTTTCTTTATGTTTTGTTTAAGTCACTCCTTAGTGAAGAGGCGGAAAAACTGCTTGCTCTTTGGCTCCTCACTCCGCGAAGTCCAGCCTGGCATCCTGAACATTAACACTGTGTCGGGCGCACCTTGGCCATTGCCAGATGTTTATAAGAGACCTGCGATGCTGCTGCGCTTGCAGGGGCGTGAGTCCGTACTTCTCCAGCTCTGCTCCGATCTCTCTCCGATCGACGCTCATCCAGTCTTCTTCTCCCTCTCCTTCCGTCTTGTGCTTGTTCTTCTGCCTCTCCTATCCACTCGACCACGTGGCTTCTCCCTCATCCCGCAGCTTTACTGTACATATCTTCCATGGAGAATGTCGGAGGCGTGGGCACCCACACTCGAAACCCTGTTCGACCCACACCGCCACCTTGCTTGCGGCCTCGTCGATATGCCCTTCTACGCTCCAGCACCCTCTCCTCGCCTTGATTATATGTCTGTCTCCGCCGAACTTGATCTCTGCGAACCCTGCGGTCCCGCCATCAGAATGCCGACAGACATGTCGCGCCCTGCCAGTAGGTCCTCCCCGGCCCGCACGCTGGAGCGTGCCTCCATCTGCTCGCACCACTTACCAGCTCATGTAGCGGGCTATAACTTGTGCGTGACCTGCCTGCGAAGAATAACGGCAGCATTGCCTTGAGACCAGCTGCTGCTGGAGGCAGAAACGTCCACCATTCCGCTCTCCCACGCAGGAACCATAAGTGCGTCAGCCGTGTCGGCTTCTGACTGAGACAGTCCCACCCACTTAGCTCCCGTTGGGGTTTTTCTGGCGTGTTCTCCAACGGTAGTCACCTCAGCTCTTGGTATGTCTTGGCACCATTTGAGTAGTAATCTGCCAGGCACACGGCGATGATGAGACGGTAATGCGCGTAGAGGCCTGTTGTTCAGGATCTTCCCGGTGATCGATGCCTGGTCATGCCCACCAACGCTGCGGCTCCATCGAGATACGTCCCACGCCGATGCTTTCATCAGCTGTCGCGCTATCAGCCCAGGAACTCATGAGAGTGATGCATCATGCCCGGGTGAAGTATACAGATTGGTCCAGCGGCTTGAGGTCTTTCATTGGACTAGGCATGCAGTCTGATATAGCCTTGGAGATCACAAGAGAGGTGGGTGTACCGCTCCCGAAAGCTTTTTGAGCAGTCCTCTCAGACACGATACCGGGCGTAGTCCAGAACGGTGTCTGGGTCGCACGCAGGTGGTGAATGCGACTATCGGTACACAAACAGCCACCAGTGTTTTGGGCTACTGGCGCAGAGCCCGGGCCCCCCCCCCCCCCCCCCCCCCCGCCCCCGCCGCGCCCTGCCCATACCGCGCCCCCCCCTTTTTTTTTCGTTTGTTTTATGTTTTTTTTTTTTTTTTTTTTTTTTTTTTCTTTTTTTCTTTTTTTTTTTTTTTTTTTCTTTTTTTTTTTTTTTTTGGAGAAAACAAAAAAAAAAGGGGGGGGGGGGGGGGGGGGGGGGGGGGGGGTTGTTTGAGCAGGATTCGGCACCGGGGTGGGGGGGGGGGGGGGGGGGGGGGGGGGGGGGGGGGGGGGGGGGGGGGGGGGGGGGGGAGCGTTCGCCCCCCCCCGCCGGCGCCCCCGCGCGCCGCCCCCTGGCCCCGTCTGTGCGCGCCCGAGGGCGGAGCTGGAGCCGTCCGCTTGCGGCTGACATTGAAGCCGCTACTGCGAGCAGGCCTTGTAACTCTGCCGTCGACTGTGCGACAGCAGGCTGCGTCTCGCTGCTGACTGAACTCACACTGGCAGGCGGAATCTGAAGCCATGTGACGTTTATACTGCGGACAGAGCTTTCATTGGAATCAGAGGTGGAGTGAGCCTTGGAGTCCTGTGTAGGTGCTGCAGCATGTATAGCTGATTGCTATGAGTTGCTGAGAGACTGCCTCGTGTTTCTTGACTCGGGGGATCGTGAGCTGGCATCAGCACCAGATGTTTCGCTCGTTCGATGATGCGCGGCAGCGATGCTGGGTGAACTCCATAGCCCGATGGTGTGGGTGGTTTTCAGTGCCATTTGGGTCTCCTGCTAAACATAGTTCAAGTCCGTAGTTGTCCAGCCTATGTATATACTGCTCTATGAACAGTGACATTTAGCATTAAAGTGTCTTATGTTTGACCGTATCACGCGTCATTTTGACCTTGAATTGACCCCATAATCTAAAAAAATAACCCATAACAGGAAATGACTCCCTGCCCTCGAAACCCCTAAAAAGTCGGTATTCGCATGACACTCTAAGGGCATCGAGATGCCGACCCGAGCACTGCTAGCCCAAGTTGTCAAATTTGACCAAATCCAAGATCGACGGCGGCGGCCATCTTGAATTCAAGAGAATGCTCAACGTTGGCACCCGGGTGAGCGAACGCAAGCTCAAATCAGCTCTCCTAACTATATAGAACACATTCCATGAAAAAAGTTCAAGTAAATTAACATTGGCAGGGTCAAACATATAGGAGATATAGGCCGGCAAACCGATCTATTTCTTTGAGAAGCATACCCCCTCTCGCGTGGCTGGCAACTTGGGGTTACAGTTAGCCCCGCCCCCCTGGCCCTGGTACAAATTCCTGTACACGCCCCTCGGATTAGGCCATTTGAGAATGGAAAAATCCGGTTTACCGTCACGCAGGGCCCGCATGCCGATTTAGTTCCCGGCCAAAAAAGTCATTATTTAATCCAAAAATTTCAAATATAATTTGGAAAAAAATTCTCCACTCGGAAACATAGACTAGGAGCTAATCACAAGGTGTACTAAGCCTAAACAGCAACTATCTGATATGGATTTTTGACACAGCTTTGGCGGCAGTCCTGGATTGTACACTGCCACCTTTTTCTAAACTCGCATAGAACCATATATCAAGGGCGCCGGAATAAATGATTTGTCGAAAAAACGCCCCGAAGATGACGGACGTCAAACCGAAATTGCCGCGAACGTGCAAAAATGAAAAATTTTTTTCAACCTGAAAATTCAAATAATGAATCATAAACGA